TCCTGTCAATGAATCAGAAGAAAAAGAAAACAAATAAAGAATATAACCAAATTCCATCAAATTGTTTTCTGTATTGTTTAGCGCAAAATTTCGAAGGGCACTTTGAAATCTAGACCGTATTTCCCAATACGGCAAATACGGTCTGAATCCGCCCCTGTTATTGTTTACGCCTGAACGCGTGATTGATCAGGGAATGGGTGCATGTAAGAGGGATACATTTTCTTTGGGGTTCCGAAAAACACAATTCCACTAGACATTTCAATTGGAAGCTCTGCATAATCATAAATAGACCCCCAACAAGCCCTTTGACTGACTAGTCAAGAAATTCAAAGGTCTGTATATTGCTCTTATTTAGCCGCCGATATAATTCTTATTTAGAACAAAGTCTTCATTGTTATCTTCTAAAACTACAGATCATCCGCTGACCGCTGTGGAGACGTGCGCCGGGACTCGAATTTTGCGCACGTCTCCACTGCAGACAGCGCTTCATACTTGAACATCCCCGCGGTCGCGTGCGCATATCCCGCGGAACTGCGCGTCTCATCCGCGCGCAGTGCTTAGGATCAACAGCAAATTAAGCTGTGCCACGCAATCTTGTATCATGTCTCGATCTCTGGATAAACGGATGTAGGGCCCCTACATAGAGCCAGAGCATATAAATCTGATTTATATGCTCTGATAGAGCTGAGATATGCGATATGAGATATGAGTAGAACTGCATATGGTACCGGTATCACAATTACAGTTTACAAAAAACTATAAACAAATATATTGCATCATAAACTATTATATCATGATCATTTTTTTGTACTTGTAATTGTAATTGTTGTAATTGTGCGGGTATTCGTTGTTTACTAGGGTTAACAAGAAACTGAAATGTTGTAACAATTAAGCGATATATATTATTTATGCGCCGACGCCGAAGGGAGGCGGTGTGATCGAGCCAAACATGTCAGCGCCCACAAGTCAATCGCGATTGAATATAAATTTCGTCCAATTCCATTTCAAATTGTAACGGTAAAATGTCTGATGCGTGGAGTGATATCCAAGCTCTTAAACTCATCTGAGGCACACCAGTTGTCTAACAAACCTTTGTCTTTGTGACTTATTTAACTTTACCTGCCTTCTGCGTCCTTACAGAGATATTCCATTCAAACTAGGGGGATACATGTAGTTGGTGACAATTGCTCGTTTCTAGTTGTCATCATGGACATGCATCTGGTCAACGTCTCCATCACCATTTTCTCATTGCATCATTCATACACATGCAGTTACATCTCATTCTCAATTATATACGCAACGAATATTTTTTTTAAATATTGATAGAAAATGAATGAACAAATGTCTCTAGACGTGATGCGGCCATGATGCCGAGGCGCGCCAAGGATTGACACTGTGTGTCTTCCAATCACAGTCTACGCCGCACCTCTCTATTATAACTTATAGGTATAATACCATTAGAGCACCAAATCGCCGATCTCAGGAACTAGGGCATTCTGCTAGACTAAAACGGTTTCCTACGATAGAGTTTGGCACAAATACGAAAATAACACGCTGTTTAGCGCACTGCGCTGCGTCCTTCTGTTGCATTTTCGCATTTCCGTGATCAGAATAAGCCCCGCCTTCTTCGTTGATGGGCATGAATGGGGCGTCAACAACGTGACCCGTTACTGCATGTAGGTGTTTGGCGATACTGTTTGCTTTTCGTAAATAATGAAAAGCCCGGCCGATGCATTTCGCACCAAAGTAGAAAAATTAGGCATTTTACCCGCTTTCAGAAGTGAACGAGTGCGTCATTCATTGAACATTGAAGTTTTTCTTAAAATTAAATAATTCCGAATATCACTAACTGCGCTACTCGATTGTTTTAGCCAATGAACGTAGCTCTGTGTGGGACGTACGTCTTGCCCGCACGCTTTATGCTTGGCTTAGCAGACCTCGAAATGGATATCGGAGGCACGCACCTCGCAACACGCGTGTTTGTTTACATATAGCAGATAGACATCAGGATGGGCGGTCAGGATCAGGATGGGCATCAGGATGGGCGGTGTCGGGAGTTCTGCGATAATAACCTCGTAATTTCTCAGCATTTCTTAAGGTGCATGGAACATTTTACCAATTTAGTGGTGTCAGTTAGTCACGGACATGTCACAGTAAGTACTATAATTAACCGTATATGTTTCACATACGTTCACCTATTTTGCACACAGGCGGTCGATCATTGTGAAAAAGTGTATGAAGATTTATTTTTATTGAGACATTCCAAGTGCCTGTGCTTTCATCAGTCTTGTACGCAGGGGCGTAAATTCCAGGGGGGATGGGAGGATGCATCCCCCCGCTCTTGGAGGAGGGGAGGGATGACCTGTACAAATATCCCCCACTAAGATTCAGAAAAAAGAAAAAGAAAAAAAGAATAGCCAAAAAGTATGGTTGCAAACATACAAAAACACGTGAAATTGTGAGAAATTGCAATTCTTACCTGTGTTTTAATACATTTATTATTACTATAGTAGGCCTAACCTAACTGTGTACGATCTCTGAAAAGTCATGAAAAGTGTTTTGAATCCTAACTTGTAGGGTTGAGGAAAGGGTTGAGATAGTGTCATCAGACATGAGAATATGGCCCACAGTATGCCTCAGATTGCAGGAAAATGGCTTAAATATTTCATAATTTTCGGGGGGGTCATGCCCCCAGACCCCCCTAACACTGGCATGCGTACGGCACGCGGACCTGCCTGCAGCAGCCAAGGTTAATTTCACCCCAGGCTATCGCCGATCATCCCCCCCACTCCTTGGTACGGATTTACGCCCCTGCTTGTACGTCAATGCAAGTACGTGCGTAAGAGCCATATAAACTCAACACAATTTCATCTCTGTTATTCAGGGGCGTATCCAGTGCTGAAGCTAGACAGTATTTTTCCAGATTTTAAGGGCACATCCCCCAAAAAGGGCACACCACCCCACAATGGGCGCCGTAAGGCGCTGAAGCACATGGCGGGGGTCTGGGGAAATTCAAATTTTCAAGGGTCCCTGGGCACAAAAATAAGCACCATTTGAGCACACATTTAGTCAAGCAGCAATAGCTAA